CCTCCCACTCATTTTTGCTTTAGCTGTGTCTTCACTACTAGAAAAATACAAATTAGCGAGGGAATTTAGCGATGGATTGTCTATTCCTTTTTAAAATGTTTAATTAGTGAGGAAATTAGCGAGGAATATTTATTTCGTAGCTTGCCTAAAAATTAGCGATGAAAAACAGCGAGGGATTGTCAATTCCTCTCTAAAATAAGATAATTAGCGAGGAAATTAGCGAGGCATTTTTATACCTCTCTAAAATGAGAGATTAGCGAGGGATTTAGCGAGGGATTTGCATTCCTCTCTAAAAATAAGATAATTAGTGAGGAAATTAGTGAGGAATTTTTATACCTCTTTAAAATGAGAGATTAACGAGGGATGTAGCGAGGGATTTTGCATTCCTCTCTAAAAATAAAATAATTAGCGAGGCAATTAGCGAGGGATTTAGCGAGGAATTTTGCATTCCTCTCTAAAAAAAATAATTAACGAGGAAATTAGCCTCTCTAAAATGAGAGATTAGCGAGGGATTTAGCAAGGGATATTGTATTACTCTAAAATAAGATAATTACCTAAGAAATTAACTAGCCATTTTTATGCCTCTCTAAAATGAGAGATTAGCAAGGGATTTAGTGATAAATTTTGTATTCCTATCTAAAATAAGATAATTAGTGAGGAATTTTATGAGGCATTTTTATACCTCTCTAAAATGAGAGATTAGTGAGAGATTTTGTATTTCTCTCTAAAAGAAGATAATTAGCTAGTGCAGGATTTAGTTAGGGATTTTGTATTCCTTTCTAAAATAAAATAATTAGCAAAGTATATTTTTATATCTTTATAAATATATAATTAGCCAGGAAATTAACAAGAAATATTTATACCTTTCTAAAAATATATAATTAGCTAGAAAAATATGGAAAGATATTTTTTTATACTTCTCTAAAAATAATTATATTAGCAAGAAAATTAGCAAGATGTTTTTATGCCTATCTAGATTGACTAATTAAGATAATTAGTAAGATATTTTTATGATTTTTCACTCCTCTTTATAAAAAAATTATATTTTTTAATACTTCCATAATTTTCTTAATATAAAATTTTATTTTTTTCTTAATTTTTTGGGAGTAAAATTCAAGTTGAGCGCCACTGCCGACACGCGTTCCCTCTATTTTTTTCGGCAGTCAAAATTTAGATTCACAGCTTTCACCGGTCAGTGCTCTAAATTTTCCAAACCCTCGACACTTTCTCACTGGCTCTTTGTTCTTTTATCTCTTGTGGTTTCTTCTATTCAACCGCTCCTTGGAAAGATTCCTCTTCCGGTGACAGTGCTTCTTGGCTCCTCCTCCTACGACGACATCCCCAGATCGGTATGCTTTCTTGTAACCCCTCTCTCTTTTTCCCTCCTCCATTTCCAACCTCTATCATCAAAACCTAGTCATATGTTCCTCTGATTTTTCCCTCGAATCATGTTCGTTCCCCTCTTTTCTGCTTCGGTTTCACTTTATGCTTGAGTAATTTATCTGTGAAGAGATAGACTTAGATAGAGTGGAATGATTTGTGGCTGTTCTGTCTCTGGTTTTGATTTTGCTTATCGATAATTGATTTTTCCTACCATTAATTGAACTGGGAACCTTTCAGAAAAGGCAAGTGATAATGTGACATGAGTTTGGTTGATAGCGAATGGCTGGCATTAGACTGTTCTGAGAATATATGGTCACCAGGAGATGCAATATCACGCTTTCTGCCTAACCAACAACACCCAAAAAAGAAAGAAAGAAAGAAAGAAAAAGAACCCTCTGAAAAATGGAATTAAAAGGAAGTTATTTTAGTTTGCTGCTGAAATTTGTGTATGCATGATGGAAATAAGATACTTTTGTTTGTTTTTCTCACTCTTTTTTCTTTATTTGCCTGACTATTTTCAGATTTGACCGTGACTGGAAGAAGATTGAAGCATTTATTGGTTCAAAAACTGTAATCTAGGTAATTATCCTAAAAGGGAAAGGGAAACAAAGAATATCATATCATTGGACATTGGGTGCTTTTGGTTTCATTTGATACAGTGAAAAATCTGATAAATCGATTCTTGAATTTTTTACTTCAGTTGTATGGTAGAGTGTCATTGCTTTGATTTCAGGATTAGAGATAAGCATTAAAATTGAAAACTTGCTAATTGTATTATATCTGTGAAAATAGTATGTTCTTTTATGATTGAGGTGAATGCAGCAATTTATCTGTTCTTTTTATGTAGAATTTTTTTTTGTGGAAATTATATGATTTATTAGATTATTTGAAAGCTCTATAATTAATTATATTTTGAACTGTTTATGATATAGGTGATTTTGAATTGAATTATATTTATTGAGGCACTTGGGGTTGGGCTAAAGGAGGTAAACTTAATGACACATGATTCCATCTTCTCTTTAAATAAGTTGGGGTCAATTTTTACGTTTTATTCCCTCATGATACACAGATTTTTTTTTTTTGGCAATTCAATCTTCAGATATTAACTAGCAAGTTTAATATCATCCTCCAGATTTATAGGGAGATCATTAATAGAGTAGTTATCATAATTACTGAATTTTGAAATTCACATTTGATTCATTCCTTTTATGTGTGTGTTCCATTTAGTATCAATAAAGATTGACATTTTGTCAGTAAGCACCATATAAAACCTCCAACAAAATAAAAATTACAAGAATATCTTGCCCAACACATGAATATGATTCCCACTAAGTAGCAGCCCAAAAAATTGCAAATGCCAAATAGACTAACATTACTGCAAGTAAGAAAATAGAAACCTCCTCAACCTTAAGAATATTCATAGTCTTCCTCCCGCGTTTTGGATATATTTAGTACATAAAACAAACAATATGGTTGAGAAATATAAGATATCAAAACTAAAATGTTTTAGTTTAACGTAAATTTAAAACAACCCAAGATTAGTTAGATGTTGATTCAAAACTAAAATTAAAAAATAGCATCATTTGACATATATCCCCAGCTTCTTCTTCTTCTTCTTCTAGTTTTTTCCCCAGTATAACTGCTAGCTTCCATTAATTAATGGAAAACATACACAAGATGGCGATATATGTCCCTCCTAAGTAGTGGGCAAATTGGAATTCTAGACTGTAAAATAATAAAATACAAAACTTTAAGATCTTGGATCAACTTCTTCAAAGAGTTAATATACAAGGCTCACTAAATTAATGCTTCTAATAAACAATTATTTATTTTGCATGCTTGGCTAGCTCCCACAAGTTCTGTAAATTCTTGTTTTTTAGTGCATACTTATATAATAGCATTTTGAGTTTGTTATAACTTGAATTCTTTTTAACTTCATCCAGTTGTAACTTACTCTTGTTATGTTACTCAAGGTGTAAAAGTTCATTGTAATATCATTAATATGTCTTGTCTTTTCCCAATTGTGACTTCTTTAATCAATCTTTTATAAATTGATACTTGTCTTTTCATATGAATTACAAATATATTGTAATGTTAGCAATAACTTTTCATATGTAAGATGAGCCACATCCTATATAATCTTGTCATTATATTTCTTTTGTATGTTTATATTTGTTCATACACAAAAATTAATTGGGTTGATTGGATCTAAGTGAAATGGTTAGAGCACATTCTCTAAGCACTCTTTTTATTTCTTTTATAATGTAGAAAGCATAAGGGGTGATAGAATTTGGATGTATAATAGAAAGGATCAAAGTAGAAAAGGGGTAACAGAAGAATTTGTCAATGGCGTAGATGGTTTCTTAGAATTTGCAATATGTCAAGATGACTTTGTTTCTGATGGCAAGATAAGATGTCCTTGCTCGAGGTGTTATAATCGACACTTTCTTGAAATAGATATTGTCAGAACTCACCTTTATAAACATGGTTTTGTGCCTGAGTACTATCAATGGGTCTCCCATGGAGAATCTTACATAGCTATGGATAGGGCAGAATGTAATATCAATTGTACTTCTCAATTGAGCGAGGAAAGTGTGCCGATTATAAATCCTTATCGTAGGATGGTTTTAGAAGCTACTGGTCCTAGTTTTAGTCCAAATGTATTTAATAGGGATAGGATCTATGTTGGAGATGAAATGCTCAGAGATAAGGAAGAGCTTCCTAATTGTGAGGCTAAGAAGTTTTATGAAATGTTAAAAGGTGTAGAGGAGCCACTTTTTCATGGGTGTAAGACTCATTCTACACTGTCTGTGGTGACGATATTGTTGAATATCAAATCTGAATTTAACTTGAGCGAAAGTTGTTTTAATCGCATATTGCAACTAATTAAAGAACTTTTACCTGGAGATGCAAAGTTGCCTAATGACTTTTATAAGACAAAACAGATGGTTAGTAAGCTTGGACTAGGGTATGAGAAGATACATGTGTGTGTCAATGGTTGTATTCTTTATTACAAGGAACACAAAGACAAGATCACTTGTCCCAAATGTGGTTATCATCGTTATAAACCTAAAAAGAAAGGTGATAAACAGAAGTATAATATACCTTATAAGGTTTTGCGATACATGCCTCTCACCCCTAGACTACAAAGGTTGTATATGTCATTAAAAACATCTGAACACATGACATGGCATGCAACAACTCATCGAGAGCAAGGGGTGATGAGCCATCCATGTGATGGGGAAGCGTGGAAGCATTTTAATCAATACCATCCTTCCTTTGCTGCAGAACCTCGCAATGTTCGATTAGCTATTGCATCTGATGGTTTTAGTCCTTATAGACAAATGTCTCATACTTATTCTTGTTGGCCAGTAATTGTCACACCATATAACCTTCCACCAGGAATGCGCATGAGCACCCCTTACATGTTCTTAACTCTCATCATTCCTATTCCAAAGAGCCCTGGTCAAAATATAGACTTATACATGCAACCTCTTATAGAAGAGTTGAAAACATTGTGAGAGGTTGGTGTAGAAACATATGATTCTTTTAGGCAACAAAACTTCCAATTACGAGCTGCTATTATATGGACTATAAATGACTTTCCTGCTTATGGCATGTTATCTGGATGGAGCACACATGGTGTTTTATCTTGCCCTATATGTATGGATCAAAGCAAAGCATTTTACTTGAAAGAAGGGAGGAAGCCATCTTTTTTTGATTGTCATCGTCAATTTTTACCAAGTGAAAATCCTTTTCGAAAGGATAGGAAGTCATTTAAAAAAGGTAAAGTTGAGAAGTCATCTCCTCCAAGAAGATTATCAGGTGAAGGAGTTTTGGAAAAAGTGTGTCACTTTCCTTCTGTTATGGAAAAAATTGGGACAAACAAGCTTTCAGGTTTTGGGGACGAACACAATTGGACCAAATGGAGTATATTTTGGGAGTTGCCATATTGGCACACAAATCTTATAAGACATAATCTTGATGTGATGTACATTGAAAAAAATATGTTTGACAACATATTCAACACTGTCATGGATGTTAATGGTAAGACAAAAGATAATATAAATGCAAGAAAAGATCTTTCTTTGTATTGTAATTGTCCAAATTATGAGTTGAAAATAAATGTTGATGGTAAGATTAGCAAGCCTATAGCACCTTACACCTTAGGAAAGGAAAAGAAGAAGATGGTATGTGAATGGGTTACAAATTTAAGGCTTTCTGATGGATATGCATCAAATTTATCTAAATGTGTTGACATTCAAGCTCTTCAAATGTCAAAAATGAAAAGTCATGATTGTTATGTTTTCATGGAGAAGTTGCTACCAATTGCATTAAGGGACTTAATTCCAGAGGCAATTTGGAATGTCATAACTGAAGTTAGCATGTTTTTTAAAGATTTATGTTCAACTATATTGCAAGTAGAGCAAATGCAAAAGCTAGTGGAGAATATTGTTGTCACACTTTGCAAATTGGAGAAAATATTCCCCCCAGGATTCTTTGATTCTATGGAACACTTACCAATTCATCTTCCATATGAAGCAATGGTTGGTGGTCCGGTACAATATCGATGGATGTATCCATTTGAGAGGTAAAATATTCAAATTATTTATATGAAAAATATGGTGATATTATATGTCAATCTATTATAAATGACTTGCATAATGCATTTATGTAGGGTTTTACATGACTTGAAAAAGATGGTAAAAAATAAAGCTCGTGTGGAAGGTTCAATTTGTGAAGCTTACTTGATGCAAGAAATTTCAAACTTCTGTTCATATTATTTTCTTCCTCACATTGAAACCAAGCTAAGCAAAGTAGGTAGAAATGATAATGGTGGCGAGGTTACTGCACCAGATGGATGCCTTTCAATATTTACTCATCCGGGTCGGGCTAGTGGAAAGATGCGTAAAAGGCATTTAAGTGATGAGGAATTCAATGCAGCTACAATATATGTGCTTTTAAATTGTGTTGAGATTGAGCCATTTTTAAAGTAAGAGTATCACATGAATCAAATATTATATTTAATTAAATATCTTGGTATATGAAATTGACACGCCTATGTGAAAAATGTAGGATTTTTGAAGATGAATTGGTGGTAGAAAATCCCAACATAACTGAGGAAGAGATTGAGAGGAAGACAAACAATGAGTTTGCAAAGTGGTTAAATACATATGTCAGTTTCAAAATATATCATTTAAAACATTATTTTTTTTACTTCTTATATCACTAACTTTTATTTATGTCCCTTACTTTTAATAGGTATTTGATCAAAAAAATGGTGTACTTGATAGTAGAGTAAAGTACTTGGCTTCTAGTCCTTTTCGAGAAGTGCATACATGGCATCAATATAATGTCAATGGGTACAGATTTCATACAATGGCATATGGCTCAAATAAAACAACCATGAACAGTGGTGTTTGCATTAAAGGAAAGTGTTATGGTGATTTGGAGAATGACTACTATGAGTTGTTAAATGATATAATTGAATTAGAATATCATAACCCAAGTTTAAAAAGAACAACACTTGTGTTGTTTAAGTGTGATTGGTTTGACCCTATTATCAATAAGAGATGGAAGGTACGTAAGCAATTTGGTTTAGTTGATATTAATCACAAAAGGAGGTTTATGAAGTATGAACCTTTCATATTAGCTGAACAATCTCAACAAGTATATTTTGCTGAATATGCTAGTAGGAAAAAGGAGAGAGCTGATTGGTGGGTTGTATATAAAGTAAAAGCTGGAAGTATGATTGACTCACCAGATTTGGTTTATCAAGAGGATGAAGTGTTTGAGCTGATTGAACCTGATGTAAATGATAGGCTTGATCATTTGAGTGTAGAAATTGAACATGAAGAGGAACTTGTGGATGTTCAAGATCTTAATTGTGAAATAATTGATGATCAACGGCATTTAAGTTGTGGAGACACAGAAGAATCTGAATTTGAGACTCAAGAGGAAGATAGTGAAGAGGAAAGTGATGAAAATATCCAATATGAGGAGGAAGATGAAGAATCAAACTAATAAAGTATATTTTTTGACATAATTTAGTATAAGCTTATTAGTATTAAATCTATTTGCCAATGTTTATTTATTGCATTAATTTATTTATTTTTTTCACATGGTAAAATTAACTTTTTAATTTACTTATATGTTACTAATAGCTTATGAACTCTTTTCTATAGCAATGCCTAGAGGAAGAGGTCAAAGAGGAATATTATGAGATAGAGGATGCAGACATGCTGAAAGGAGTGAAGATAATACTAGCACACTATGTAGCCAAGAGTATTCAGAAGAAGTTGTGAACACACATGCTGGAAGTGTTCGACTGCACTTATGTGTTGTTGGGAAAGGGGATTCGTATGTTTATAAAAATTTCAATCCCTATTCTAGATTTATTTTCAAAAATGTAACTTAAAAGCATTTTATTTTGCAGGTTATCCTCACATGATGCAGTTTGCGATATCACCAAAATATTTAAAAAATCATTCTCAGGTGTATGGCCCACTTGGACTTCCATCCCATCTCATGTTAGAGACCAATGGCTTGACGAACTAAATGTATGTTAATTCTTCATTTTTAATTGTCATGGATAAATCTAGAAAAACCTGGATAAACCTGATCCTTGGGACTATTTAGCTTTAATTGTCCTTTTCTGTTACACACACACATAGTGCATTCTTGTAGTACTATGTTGGCCTTTTTTTAAAACCCCCTTTTCTATATATGCACACTTCTACTCTAACAAGTCAAGTTAGTCATGTTGCGTGTTTAACTTCAGTGTTTCATTTTATCCTAACTAATTTTGGATTATTTGTTTGAGTTCAAGTCTCACTTGGATTAGGAAATTGGTGTTTTAAAGTGACTAAAAATAGGACGTTGGCTTGTGCTGACCATAAAATATTGATTTTGTATTCAGCAACCACAAGAAGTAAGAACAATACAGTTTGAAGTTTATGTTATTCCTTTTCTCCTTTTATTATTCTCTTAGAATATAAAAACATAAAGCTCCTTGTTTTCCACTTGAATATTGGGAGAAAAGTAAAGAAGGTAGAAATACTAGTTTATATATGCATAAAACCTCAACAATAAGTCACCATAGATTAAAACCACTAGAGGTGCATGTATAGCTACACTTGATTGATGTTAAGACCTGGTAAAAAGGACCAAGAGGGTAAAAGTCATACTCTTTATTGACTGCATCCGCATCTGGAATTGGAACTAGTGGTTTAATTTCCCAATTTTTTTGTGTACCGGGTACTGTCAACAATTGCCTTAATGATAATCTACAATAAGGATGAAAAATCTAATAAAATTATAGAGACAAAGTGCAAACATAAACAATCTTTCAAATGAGTTTTCAATATAAAGAAGCTGTGTACTTTTACTTTCCTTTATATCTCTTATCTGATTGTCATATACTAGTATCCTTTATATTGTATTTCTGTTCCTACTTTTCTGCTGCTGTTAGGATAAGTTTTATTTTATTCAATTTTGCAAGCCTATCTCTTGGGATCTTATAGGAAATAATCAAGGAAATAACTTGTTTATTTTGTTTTGTAAATAAAGTGAAACTAACATTCAAACATAAGTGCTTAACTCTTAAGTTTGATATATTTTAGCTGCTTTTCTCTCTTCATTGTCTATATTGTGTACATGTATTGGTGTATTCTTATATTGCTTGCTCTTTGTTCCTTACTCTACTATTAGACTATTTTCTATAACTTTTGAGCTTATGTGCTACTTTTAATTTAGAGATTATATCATTGGGAGGAAAATGAAACAAAGATAATAAGATATGCCTATGAAGCCATTGGCTCTAGATGACTTAGTGATATTCTTGGAAAAGAAAGGAAAAAGCATAGGGAAAATGAAAATTATGTTCCCAATTGGATAAGTGGAGCTCACTGGAATGAACTTGTGCGGTATTGGAATACCCCAAAATCTAAAAAGATTTCAACAATCAATTCAAACAATGGATTGGCAAATCCATCTCTTCATACAGGAGGATCTATTCCCACACATTTGCATGTTGCAAAATTGGTAAGTTTTAATTTGTATAGCTGTAAAATATGTTTCTTTGCATTATTAATGATTTGATACTAACTTTATAACAATGATTATTATATTTGTAGGAAAAAAGCACTGGAAAGAGAGTGATGTTGTCCCAATTATATGTGGCTACACATAAGAAAAAGAAAGACAATCAATGGGTTGATAAGAAATCAAAAAACACCTATGTAAGTTTAGATTCTCAAATTAAAATGATATCTTCATGTTTTGATTATTTATTAATTCATTTGAACTTTTTAAGTAACATTCAAGAAAGATATTCAACAAGCTGCTGGAATTCTGAAGAGATTATTGAGGAGGAAGATGGACAACAAGGAAATAGTGATGCTGCTGTAGGACTTGAAAATGAACATGCAGGGGAACAGCCAACCCAACAAGTTGCAAATGATGACTTTCTTCAAACTCAAGCCTCTCTCCCTTCAAAAGAAGTGGCTCAAGCATGGTTGAAGGCTATCGAGGGGACAAAAAAAAGTGGTAAAGTTTATGGATTGGGATCACATGCTGCTATAGTATGTGGCTTTGCTGGCAACTCTGTATTCCACATTAACAATGCTCCATCTCCTGCTGCTCCCCAATCTACAATTATAGATAATGTTGTTCAAACGCCTGCATTTGAAGAAGCTATTAACCGTGCTATAGAAGAAAGGGTACAACGTGTTCTTGAAGAAAAGATGAACTAAGCATTAAATCAAAGATTGTCAGATATAAGACTTTCAATACAACAAGACATATTTGGGGCTATTCGAACTCTAGGTGAAAAGGTCTCAACTCCACAGCAAAATGCCAATAGCTCTAATTCCTCTAGGCAACAAGATTCTAATCATGATTGTGCAAAATAACTTATGTATGAAGTGTTTTGAACTTGCTATGTACTTTTTTTGTATTTTGCATAACTCTCTATGTATGAAGTAGCTTGAACTTTATGACTATAATTGATATAGTATTAAATTTTTGTTATATTAATGTGATTATTGTTTATGATTAAAAATTTGGATGGATGATAAGTTATCTCGTTATACAGGAACTAAAATATTAAAAATTTAGAATTTGCTAAATTAAATTAGTGAGGAATTACTGGAGGATTATGTAAAAAAATTTCACAGTTTAGTGAGGGCTTTAGCGAGGGATTTTGTCTCTCGCTAAAATCAAATTTAGCGACGAAATAACGAAGGCAAAAACCCTCGCTATAAAAAATAGCGAGGGATTGGTCCGTCGCTTTTATCTTGCCAAAATGGTGAAGTTTAATCAAATTTAGCGACAGATTAGCGAGGACTAGTTGCCGTCGCTAATTTAGCGAGGGATATTAACCCTCGCTATTTTGTCGCTAAATTATAAGTTTATATTCCGATTTTGCGAGAGCATTAGCGAGGGATGACTATGTCCTCGCTAATTAGAGGGGGATTTTTACCCTCGCTAATCCCTCGCTAATTTTAGCGAGGGATATTTTTCCTCGCTAAATCCCTTGCTATTTAGTGAGGAGATATGCATCCGTCGTTAAATTTAGCAAGCCCATTTTTTGCAACGAATTTAGCGAGGGCCTGAATCCCTCACTAAGCACTATTTAGCGAGGGAATATGGTCATTTAGAGAGGGATTTTTCCCTTGCTAAATACTGTTTTTCTAGTAGTGCTCCTCCCTTATTTCCTCCTCTTTACACCTTCAAAAGTGTGCTCTCCTTCCTCCTCTCCCTTGAGCTTGACCGACACCCTCTCCTTTCTCCTCTTCGGTGAGTTATCCATTCCCCCTTCCCCTCCCCTTCTTGCGCCGCCTCCCCCTCCCCCTCCCCTTCTCACGTAGCGTCCCCCTCCCCCTCGCCTTCCTGTGCCCCCTCCCCCATATCTCTACTGCACCCCTTCCTTATCCCCTTCCGACCTCTACACGCCCTCTCCCCCTCCCTTTCCCCTTCCCGAGCCCCCTTCCCTTGCCCCGCCCCCTCCCCATGCCCCTTAGGTTAGTGGCTTATTGATATTGATTATTGTAGGAACTGCTGTTAGTAGCTTCATAAAGCCTTAGGTTACTGCATGTGATTATTAATTTAGTTTAAAATTATTAATTTTCTTTATTAAAATTTTCTAAAAGTCTTGAGAGGTCTAATTTTTAGAGGAGACTTTGCTAAAAAATTTTAAAATTCATTCTTTCCCCTTGAATTGCTTAAATTTAGTTTTTAAGAAGGCCTTATCAGGTTATTTGCATGTGGTCATTTATTTAGGAATTTAGATTTTGAAATAGTTTGAAGGTAATAATATTAGTTATATTCTTTAAGTATTGACATATGGATCGTAGTTGGATGAATGCTAAACGAACAAGTGATGAGTATGATAAATTTTTAGAATTTGCTAAGAAAAATCCTATTGACAATAGTGCAAGGTTCTATTGTCATTGTGTTAATTGCTTGAATGAGAGGAGATTAGGTGCTGCCAAAATAAGAGAGCACTTGATTTGTGATAGGATTTGTAAGAATTATACGGTATGAATTTGGCATGGTGAATGATTGGAAAATTATAGTAACACGTCTCAATATGTGGAAGTTGATAATTTGGATGATGAAATAGATATGAATGACGATCGATTAGAGGACATGATCCATAATGTTGGGGTTTGAACAAGCACATGTGTATGATAACTTGTATACTAACGCGGAGAAGCCTCTATACCCAGGGTGCATTGATTTTAGTTTGTTATCTGGGGTGTTAAAACTGGTTACCTTAAAGGCAAAAGCTAGGTGGAGTGACCAAAGTTTTACTTGGTTGCTAGAGTTACTTCAAATAATATTGCCGAAAGACAATGTACTATCAAATCATTATTATGATGGCAAGAAGATAGTATATCCATTGGGTATGAAGTATAAAAAAATACATGCATGCCCTAATGATTGTGTATTGTATAGAAAAGAGCTTGAAGGGGAGGAGAAGTATCCAAAATGTGAAGCACTACGGTACAAAGAGAAGGGGGCTCTTACAAAGGTCTTATGGTATTTTTCAATTATACCAAGGTTCAAGCGCTTGTTTGTAAATACTAATGATGCGACGAACTTGATATGGCATGTAAATGAGAGAATATTTGATGAAAAACTTCAACATCTAGTCGATTCTGCTCAGTGGAAGAAAATTGATCAATTATTTCCTGAATTTGGCAATGAGCCAAGAAACTTGAGGCTTAGACTTTCTACTGATGGAATGAATCCTTATGGTAGTCTCAGTAGTATACATAGTTCATGGCCTGTTCTTATGGTGATTTACAACCTATTACCTCAGTTGTGCATGAAACAAAAGTACATGATGCTATCCATGTTGATTTCAAGACAAAAACAACCTAAAAATGATATTGATATTTACCTAAAACATTTAAATGAAGATTTGAAAATGTTGTAGGAGGTAGATATGGAAGTGTTTGATGTAAATCGAAAGGAAAATTTTAAGTTACATGCTATGATCTTTTGTACTATAAATGATTTTTCTATATATGGGAATTTGTCCAACTATAATGTGAAAGGTCATAAAGCTTGTCCAATTTGTGAAGAATTATCATCAACTTCAACATGGAAGGAAGACAGTCAACCTTAGCCATCGAAGGTTTCTCAAAAGAGATCACCCTTATCATAAATTGAAAAAAGCTTTTCATGGTCACCAAGAGCACAATCATGCTTTAGATGCTTTGACTGGAGATCAAATGTTTGAACTGGTGAAAGACATCAATATTATCTTCAGTAAGACTAAAAAGAACATTGGTGCAAAAAACATATGGAAAAAAGGTCTATCTTTTTTTACCTTCCATATTGGCACAATCTTAAAGTAAGGCACTGTATTGATGTTATGCATGTGGAAAAAAAAATGTGATAGTATTATTGGAACACTTCTGAACATATCAGGTAAGACCAAGGATGGTGTGAAAGCAAGATTGGATTTAAAAGAAATAGAAATACAAGAGAATTTACACCCGAGACTAGAAGGTAAGTGAACTTATTGTCCCCTAACCTCTCATACATAGTCTGAGAAAATAAGTTTTTGTGAGTGTTTACGTGAAATTAAAGTTCCTTCGGGGTATTCTTCAAATATTGGGAAGCTTGTGTCTGTGAAAGAGTTGAAATCGATAGGCTTAAAGTCTCATGATTGCCATGTCTTGATGCAACAACTATTAACTTTGGCTATTCAAGGCATATTGAAAGAAGATTTAAGACTTACAATAACTAGACTCTATTTCTTTTTTAATGCTTTATGCAGTTAAGTTATTGATCCCTGTAAACTGGAAGAGTTAGAATAAGAAGCTTGTATGATTTTATGCCAACTTGAGATGCACTTTCTTCCTACATTTTTTGACATTATAGTTCACCTAATAGTGCATCTAGTGAGGAAGGTAAAATTGTGTGGCCCTGTTTATTTACGATGGATGTAGCCAGTTGAGAGATATATGAAAATACTAAAAGGATATGTCAAGAATCCATATCGACCGGAAGCATCGATAGTTGAAAAATATGTTGTCGAAGAAGCCATAGAATTTTATTTTGATTACTTGTCAAGTACATAATCAATTAGACTTTCTAAATCTCATCATGAGAAGAGGAAATTAAGTCAAGGCACACGTGGAATATCAGTAAAGAGCATGAGTCATGATGAATTACAAGAAGTACATTTATATGTTTTGAATAATATTGATGAAGTTAAAGATTACATTTCTTCTCACAAAGAACTTCTAAAGGTAGAAAATTATCGAATGAGAATGACTAAACAAAGGTTGTTGAAAGAGCATAATAAGACTTTTGTAGATTGGTTCAAGCAGAAAATTTTAAATGAAAGTAGCATTTCTGATACAGTTAAATGATTGGCAGGAGATCCTAACTTTGGTGTTATATGTTAGAGTGCGTATGATATTAATGGGTATTCTTTCTATACAAAGTCCTTGGATGAAAAGAGTATAGTGCAAAATAGTAGGGTTATGATAGTGGCTAAAGCCATTCACTTCTCTAGCTCAAAAGATAAGAAACCTAAACTAGCAGCAGGGACTTATTTTAGGGTTATTGAAGAGATTTGGGAGGTTGATTATATAAAATTTAGAGTTCTTATTTTCAAACACAAATGGGTTGACATCAACAGTGTTCATGATAATAAGTTAGGATTTACAATGGTTGATCTTAAAAAACTTACTTATGGGGAGGAGCCATTTATCATAGCAGACTAAGCTAAACATGTTTTCTATATGATAGATCCAAAAAATAAAAATTGGTCAATAGCATTGAAAGAAAAAATGATGATTGACAGTGATGATAATCAAGAATCAAGCTTTGATATTTTTGAAACCCCTACTTTCTTATCGAGGCTACCAATTTTAAATGTAGTAGATGAAGTAGATGACGAACATGCCATAAGAAGTGATCACTATGAAGGGATATGAGAGAATATCCCTATATGAATTTAGTTTTTAAACTAAAGTATGTTTTCTAAGTTCAATTAAATTTATATTATGTTTTCTAATTATCTTATATCTGTTTATTTTTCTAATTAATTTAATTTGTATGAATTAATAGGAACATGGAGTATCAGAGTGAACATGGTGATGACACTCAAAGCCAACCTACTACTGGCCAGCCACTTAGTAATGACTCGAGTCAGTGTACCCCTAGTGAGAGCCCGTCTGTAAGGAGAGGTAGACGTGGCACATGATTGAGAGATTTGACATTAAGTAGGAGTGCTAGACACAGGTTACCAATTCAATTTGATTGGAGATGGACTCCTATAGGGGAACACAAGGCCAAGCTTGTTAGTTTTCTTAGTCTCCTATCTCGTACCAAGCCTCTTATTAGATTTGAGGACTGGCCTGATATGCCAGAACGTGTGAAGGACCAGATATGAGAAAGTATTCAGGTATGTAATTAATTTATGCATGTAGTTATGTATCATTGTTAAATTATTGATTATCATCTTGTGTTTCAATTGTAGCTCACGTACGTTGTTCCTTCTAATC